CCTGTCACTTTCAATCTGTCGCATCTTCTCCTCGTCATGCCGTCTGCGGGCCTCCGCACACGCCATGATGAAGAGAACAGAAGAGAAGAAAAAGGAGGAGCCCCCCCCCCACCCCCCCGTCCCCAACCTAGCGATCGCCAACACCATCGCGCTGATAAACACTCTTAATGCTGTCATTGGTCGTCAGGAAAAGCGAGCATCAAGCACCACAAACTTGCCACGACGCTTACGGCAACACGAGTGATTTTCAGCACTTTGTTTGATTAAATTAAATCATTTAAAAGTTTTCGTGTTCCAGTGATGTGAACCTGTTATGCGTGGGCACTTTTTTGTCATCAGTTCTCTTGCGTTATATCTCTCGTTCCACACTTCAAAACAGACTGGATTAAATTTGACTTAGATTTATTTTTAATCTAAAACAAATCTTTTTTATTGTTATTTTCAAGCAGAAATAGAACATAAACTGACTAAAGATATCATTTCAATAGGGTGGTTAGCACGTCCGCCTCAGTGCAAAGGTGCAGGGTTTGATTTCCTGGATTCCGGCCTTCCTGTGTAGAGTTTGCATGTTCTCCCCGTGCCTGCGTGGGTTTTCTCCAGGTACTCTAGTTTCCTCCCACATTCCAAAACATCCATGGCAGGTTAATGGAACGCTCTAAATTTTCCGTGCATGTGAGTGTGTTGTTCGTCTATGTGTGCCCTGCAATTGGATGGCAACCAGTTCAGGTTGTACCCCGCCTATTGCCCAAAGTCAGCTGGAATAGGCTCTGGTAAGCCCGCCACCTTAGTGACCATAAGCAAATTAGAAAAAAAATAGCATCAATAATGGTCGTAACGGTGTGCGAAACTCCTCTCTGTTCAGGTCTTTTTGGGAAGAGCCTTTACAAAAGTCGCTGTGCCAAAGTCCAAAGCACAAGTTCAGGCGTGTCATGTTCCTGCACACAAGCGCTAAAAGAGTGATTGTCTTAGTCGCATGCCAGAGGAGCACCGGTGCGGCATGGATAATGGTGATGTACGTTCTGGAAGATGGATTGCTCGATATCTCCTATGCAAGTGTGCCCACCAAGCTGCTCCGACTCTATTTGTCAAAGCCTCCGCAGGATTTCTCGTCCATCCATCTCCGTCTGCAGGACGGGCTTCTTACACAAAGCCCTGATGTTTCGTTTCTGTTTGTTCTGCTTATTTTCTCCCTGTGCATTCATGTTTGTTTATGTGGGGGGGGGAACACACGATAAATGTTGCAAATCTTGAATTTCCATTCAACAGGAGATTCAAAGAGCGTCACTGTGGTTGTCATAGCAACTCTTGCCCACCTCCGAAAAGGGTCTCTTATATGCTTTGGCTGCTGAACTCTCAAGAGTGTTCGTAAGCTCGTGGCAGGCACGTTACGTTGACACAGTTTCAAACAGCGAGCAAAACGCATCGTGCGTCCCCTCTCACCCAACCCAGACACCACCGCCGGCGTCCGCACGCAGCGGTCGGGCTTCAACCGCCACGAGCAGAACGTCTACTTCCTGCCCATCCTGGTGGGTGACAGCGGCCCCCCTTCGCTCAGCTCCACGGGCACCCTGACCATTCACATCTGCGGCTGTGATACAGGTGAGCACCATTAGCGGCAATCATCATCACCATCAGCGTTAGCCGCGCCGAAAGGTCACCCCGTGTTGTTTTGCTCTTTGCTTAGCTGCTCGTAGCCCCGAAACACAAGGCGAGGCCACACAGGAGGCTCTAAACTGTAATCTACTGCAAACTTGACTCTTCCGCTCTGGATGACTTTAATCGGTGTCCACTGAAGTGACTCATGTTTTTATTTTTTTCCCCCTTCTTTCTTTCGCAGCGGGAACCATCCAGTCCTGTAACGCCACAGCCTACGTCATGAGCGCAGCGCTCAGCCCGGGGGCACTTATAGCACTGCTGGTGTGCATGCTCATCCTCATAGGTAAGAGGGCAGAGGTAACACATGAATATATATGGCTTGTATCGGAGGATAAATGGGTGGCCGATGGATGGGTAAGCACATTTCATGAGGATGGGCCCGGGAGCGACGGTCAGGTCAACGAGCCACCAGGGGCAGTGGACTCGATGACTCGATCAAGGGGGGCTGCACTAATGCCGTCTACTCACATTTCATAACTGAGTCCCCACACACGATGTGGGAAAAAAAAAAACAAAAAAAAAAAAACATCGTGCGTGTTAACTGATTTTTATTGCAGTCACGATCATCACAAACATTTGAGGAAATAAAACACAACTGCGGAGGATTTGCGGTCGTAAGTGTTGAGCCATGTTTGAACAGGATAATCCCTTCGAAACATCCGATAATCGGGATTTTGCTGATTTTAATCAGAATGGGGGGGGGGGGGTTGAATTTGACATGATTGTCTACATGCATGCATGCCCCTGAACACACCACACCACATGATAATCTTTTAACGTAATCTCAAAGATTATCCATCCAATAATCGTGCTTTTACTGAGTTTGATCAATTTTTTCTTCAATTTGTGTGTGCCAAGCTTTAAACAAACATCGGATAATCTCGCTGAGATATCCACTAATTGAGCCTCTGCTGCCTTTGATTGGGTATCTGCCCAAATTTATTCCGTTTATCGGCATGTGTGCCCTCAGCTCACGAGACACAACTTGGAAAATGTGTGCTCGTGAATGTATTACTAAGCGCTGTTTGGGTCTTCTCGGTTTTTCAAGGCCAAGCGAGTGTTTTTGGTTTGTTGTTGTTTTTTCCCCCTAATTCCCCCCATTGACTCTTTGCTGTGTTGCAATATGCAGCAGCAGACTCTCCCACAAGGACAGAAATTCAAGCGTTGTGATATTTCTCGCTGCTGCAAAAGCTTCGAAATGCTTAGATAGCAATAAATAATAAATTTGCTTTTAAAGCGCTACTTTTTTCTTTCATAACACAAGCGGGATGTGCTTAGTGAAGGGGCAACTCTTTACACTTTCAAAATAAAAGCGCAAAAAGCACCCCCGGGTATAACCCTTCAAGCACCGGCGTATACTCTTGATCCAAAAATCAACTCATACAACTGCATCTTTGCAAACTTTGAAGAGATTGTCTTCTTTGTGCATTTACAAGTATGGCGTTGGTATTGTACTGCCTCCTGGTGGCCAAGACGGACGAATTAGAAGGAACAGTACAATGTCAATGGCTTTTGGGCCTTGCCGCTTCCCTTCTTATTGAGATTGAGTGGAAGCATAAACACACTTGACATTGGCAAGACTTTACATATTTGCTCGTCCAAACTCGTGTTAGGCGCGGAGATTGGTGAGATTCGGCGTTGTCCTGTGTGAACTTTTCATGAACAGTCTTCATACCAGAAGCGAGCGCACGGCGCCACCTAAATGATGGATGACGCGACACCCCGCTGCTTTGCGAGCGTGACTCACACCGCTATCCGTGTCTTGTAAAAGAGCTCGTCCTAATGAGACTTGTTCTGAATTTGCCTCCATTAAGCGGAACATCTTCTCGGGAGCAGAGCATCACTTATTCATCCCCTTCTTAAAAGCATCCACAAACACGGGGCAGATGCATCCTCTGCTGGCTATTAAAGGCAACTCTGTTTGTGTAGTTTGCCGTCAGTCACATGAGCTCAAAGACACAAAAATGAAAAGCATGGCAAGCCTTAGGAGGCTTGATACAAAAAGCACATGCACAAACGGAGCACTTTGAGACGAGCCCCCTCGAGGAGCTTCTGCTATTTTGAAAACGCCTTTGGACTCTTTACTGGCACCTTACCATTTTAGCAACAGTGGATAACATATACAGGGGATTACATTCACCGGATACTTTATTAGGCACTCCTGAACTAATATTATGCAATTTTTAAAAATATATATTTTCTTCACAATCAAAGATTAACGAGGGAAAATGAAGCAGCTTATTGTATGCAATGAAACCACAATCAAAATGGTATCATGCGCAAAAGCTCAATATCAAAAAATTTTGTCTTTTTAGAAATTAAATGATGCAATAGTTTTTTTTTATGTACTGATTAAAATCCCAAAAGAGGGAATTCAACTTTAGTGTGCAAGTGTGTGGTCAAAAACATGAACAATCCACAATGAACTGGTCGAGTAAAATGACATATCTATTGGGATAATCTGTAACGAAACACAACTGCGTAAATAGAAAAAGCACACTCACTAAATCAGCATGTTGGATATTCACATTACCGTAATGGATGTAAACATATGAGCCATTTTTTTTGTTGTTGCCCTTTTGCTTTGCTATGCATCTTCCGTAAGGAGACTCTTATCCGTTTCAATGAGGAAGTGGTTCTTTGTCGCCGTTCTAATGTCACGCAGGCTGACTGATTGGTAGGAGATGGAGTCAAGTGTCTCAGCCAAGCACTTTCGAGCAGCCTCAGTCACAGCAGCGTTAACGTGGGGCAGCAGCGGAAGCTGCTCGGTTGAGCTTTGTTTGGTGAGGAGCCATTTGAGATATATATATATGAAAAGCCCCAAGTTACTTTTTTTATTGGTGTAATTTGTAATCGTAATTATTGACGGGAAAATTGAACTGGTGAAATGGTGCAAACATTCAACGACATAAATACAAAATGAAAACACTGGGCAAGCTGGAAGCATGGAGCAAGACGCAAACATTCAAAACTCCATGTTGTAAACACCACTTGTGAGGCCACGCCCCTTAAAGGTACATGCCAATGAATGTACCGCAGTGTGTGTGTGTATGTGTGTGCTTGACTTTTGACTCCAGTGCTATTTTTTTCACTCGTTATTGTCGAAAAACATCCAGGCGTAAAGTAGAGGTGAATATAAAGCCACATCGCGTCTGCAGAACCAGGAAGTAGACAGCGTTTTTGCAACACTTCTCTGACATAAGTCGCGTTCAAGAGTTCCAATTTATTTGGTGTGAAGCTATTTTGACCACTTTAAATGATGCGTAAAAATTAACAGATGACTCGGGGAACAACCATTTATATCAATTTTGTTCCTATCAATGAATTTGGCAATACTTGGACATCGACAGCAACGGTTAGTAATTTACAATACATCTGGGGCTATTTTCCTGGGGTTTTTTTTTTTTTTTTTTTCAAAACGTGGGGTTTTGGGCAGGGCTGGAACAGATGAATGGCATTTGAAATCGTTTCAATGGGGGAAATAGATTTTATATTATCTACGTGACCGCTATCCGACCAGTCTCTCGCCCAAAATCAACTGCGATCGGCTCCCTGTTACCAAAGAGCCTAATGAGGACACGCTCAATAGAAAATGGACGGATTAATTACTCTCCGAGTTCGCACGCACGATTGCAGCGTGTACCTCGTCGACACACACAAACAGCAGCAGTTAAAGCAGGCATCCCCGCTCTCCTCAGGTGGGACCACCTCTCTGTTACATCAATTGTTGGCGCAAAATTAAAACAAATTCCCCCCCTAATTACTTGACAAACAATCCGTTCCTCCATCCGTTCATTGAAAGGCCCGGCGTGATGAATCCACGCCGCGGCATCTGGGTGCCTCCAGTGCAATTAACTCCCCATCTGCTGGAGATGAACTTCCGGCTAGGACGAGCGCAGCGCAGCCCCGGGGCAAATTATCATTCTTGTCAGGAGTGCTGATCGCGACATCGGCACACGCGCTTGAGAGGCATGCGTGGCGCTGCGCGGAGGAGTGCGCGAGGCCCTTGCCGTGCTCCGAATCGCTTTGCAACCGGGTGGAAAATTTCCTGGGGAATTTAAGACAGGGAAGTGCCGCGCTCCGAATCGCTTGGCAACCGGGGTGGAAAATTTCCTGGGGAATTTAAGACAGGGAATTTGGGAAAGAAATTAAGTTTGCAAAATAAGACGATAAAACGCAGATTCATTTTAGCTTTCAATAGTTTGATCAAGTTTCAGGGATTTGACTGAACAATGCAAAACTGGAATGCTTTCAGTTAAAGGATACTCAAGTCACACAATCACCCAAGTTACTTTTAAAATGTAATGTTACTAGTTTCAGGCATTTGAAAGGAATATATTCTATAGGATAATACGTTACTTATTACTTAAAAAAATATATTTTATGGATGATTGATTTATTCATGCTTTCAATATTTCCAAAGGGAAATGCGAAATTTGCAACCACCGAACACAAGAAAGAAATTCCCCTGCTGGCGATTGGTTCACTCCACAATCTACTTTGTCTAATTTTGTCTCGTGGGCCCGATAATGTGACGCATTGCTGGAGCCAATCGCTCCAATAATATTCGCAAAGTATCAGAAGTAACTCGTGATGTTACTTTGTTACTGCATAAATATAATACACTACTGTAATGGGTTACTTTTGTATTCCCCAAGATAACTGCCTTTTCAATAGCCAATATATATATTCAGTAGCGTCTGTGCAGCTAATAGGCAGCGGAGCCGGCATGCTCTCGGCGCGGGTTTGTCACAAGGTTAAATCTGCCGCGCCCGGTCTATTTGCACAACAAGCATCTGCACGTACGATGGAGTTGAGAGAGCTTTTTTCTTTTTTTTTTTCCCCTGCTGACACTCGCCTCATTAGGATTGAACTCATTGCGCCCGTGTTAGTATGCGCGGAGGTGCGCGGCGCAATTTACCACGCGACCGTCCATCCCCGCCGCCTCCTCCCCGAACCCCGTGGCAATTAATTCGGCCCATTCACGGCGGAGAACAATAAACACAATTGTCATAGACGCGGCTTTCCCAGTGGAGCCCAGCATACAACGTGAGAGGCGAGTGATTGGATGTTATCAGCGAGAACTGGTGCGCGGCGTCCACATTCCGAGTTCAGTCAGGCTCACTCTCGTCTCACATGGCTCTTTAGGGGAGCATGAAAGTGACTTTTTACACCTTTTATACTAATGGTGACCATTATCAGAAATGGCTGAGATGATTGTATTCCAAAGAGCAGGAAATATCATGGAAATCGCACAACATTTCTGGGACAATTTGTTCTTTGTGGGAGCTCAGAAAATGGCCAAAATCATCCCTGAATGGACATCCTTGAAAAAAACAAAAAAAATCTAAAGAGCAGATTTTCCGAAGCATTGGCGATTTCTCTGTCGTGGCCGCATCATAATGTCGTGTGGTTCAGTCAAGCAAGCTCCGGAAGCCCCCCCCCAGTGTCATGCAATATTTTGAAAGATGATTGGCAGCCACCCTCTGGGGACAAAAGGCAAATGATGGAAGGATTTGATCTTGCAAGGCTACCATCTAACAACGCCGGCATGCAAATTCCCCGGACACAGCCGATGCGACGGCCGCGCTTGTGCGCATGTGTCCCGTTTGTCTTTGTGTTCATGCTTGTTGTTGGCGGCGGGGTCGCCGTATCAAACGCCGCGCGTCTCTCCGCCTGGGGGGGCCTGAACCCACCATGTCATTTGTAGTCGTTTCATCTCCGCCTGCATTTCAGGCATTGATTCCCGAACACTGCCGGGTAATGATCTCTTTTCTGCTGGCGTCCTTTAATTGTTCTCTTCAAGAGACGGGACGCAGCCGGATGCCATTCGACTCCAACGGACAAATTGTAGCGTCTTAAAACAGCAAGCTAAAGATAAACAACATGTCTTACCAAACAAAACGGATATTTATAGAGTCATGGTAATTTGAATGTCGCATTGAAGAAACTGGAGAAAAATGGCCGGGAAGCCAGCCTTCGCTGTGCTCTAACATTTGAAGTGTAAATACATCTACAGGATGCGGTACTCACCAAGAGTTCGGGATGTTTGGCTTTCAGGTGAAATTTCAGGAAGAGCCTAAAATGCATCCCAAACTTTCCAGGTTCTTCAGGCTTGAATGAGTATCGATATAAAGCTCATCCCTCCCTCCTTTTGAGTCATTTAAAGCATATTTTGGGGGCGAGGCTGCAAAATCAATGCTCATGCATTTCAAATGGGAAAACCCGACAATACACAAAAATGCCCCTCCCCCTCCCCCTTAGCCTCCTGCTGCGCCTTTGCAAATCAAAGTTTCAATGGCGGCGCTCAGTGGAAAATCCATCATGCACCGGGCAGATTTTTTTTTTTATGTAGCAAAGTCGATAAGGACAACGCCGAGTGCGCTTTGTGGTGCAGATGTTTCTTCGGGTGCCCTGCGACTGGCCGGCAACCAGTTCGGGGCGTCCCCCGCCGACTGCCTGAAGACGGCTGGGATGGGCTTCAGCACACCCGCGACCCTCATGAGGAGAAGCGGATTAGAAAATGGATAGATGGATTATTGGTTTCATATTGTGGCCAGCAGGAGCAGGATAAATGAGTGTTAACCATCACTTTCACCTTTGTTCAAGCCAAGATGCAAGAGAGAGGAGAGGAGTTTATAGTTCGGAAGGGTAAACATCATAATTTCTGGATGCTAAAGTAAAAATAATGATCAAATCTTGAGCGCGCAAGTCAAAAAACTAAATCTGGCAAGCACCTCAAAAGGAGCCGAACCTTAACTGCGCAAGTCAAATGGATCAACGAGGCAAAGGCATTTGGAAAAAAAAAAATCCAAAGTTTCGAAAGAACAACGAAAGGAGATAAATGGAATACGCGCATCCACTCGACCCAGGCGGCAGAGGAAACGGCAAATGGGCAACGGGATCATGACACATCTTTTCTGTAGGCAGCCTCTACGAACGACGCAACCCGTCTTGCCTTTTTAACCATCAAATGTGGCCCCTGAACAGAAAAGCTTGCCCGCCCCCTGGTATGCGAAGCGTGGCTTTTCCATAATGAGTCCCCTTCAAGGTTTCATGTTTGATGATTCAAACCTCCATACTTGAGGCTAACGATGTATTTTTGACCGTCCTTGCACTAAGTGTCGCCTAACTCTTTCTACCCGCCACCCCCACCCCACCCTTGCCCCTCCAGTCCTCGTCTTGCTCATCCTGACCCTCAAACGCCACCGGAAAGGCCAGCGGATGGCTGAGGACGAGGAGGACATGCGGGACAACGTCATCAAGTACAACGACGAGGGCGGCGGAGAGCAGGACACGCAGGCGTACGACATGAGCGCCCTCAGGAACCTCTACGACTTCCCCGAGGCCAAGAGCGTCGCCGCCGCCGCCGCCGAATCGGTCCCGGATACAGGCACGCTGCCGCAGTGGTTGCAGGCGAGCCGCCTAGCGGGCGGGCCGGCCGAGGCGTGCTCGGCCGCCGACTTCTCACTCTTCAAAGGTTACATCCGCAAAAAGGTGGAGCAGGCCGACGCCGATCTGTCGGTGCCGCCGTATGACTCGTTCCAGACGTACGCCTTCGAGGGCGCGAGCTCGCCCGCGCTGTCGCTCAGCTCCATCCACACACTGTCCACCACGTCCGAGCAGGATTTCTCGTACCTCAGTGACTGGGGGCCGCGATTCCGCCAGCTGGCGGGCTACTACGCGCCGGGAAAGCCCGACGAGGACGGGTCCTAGCAGCGCGTCCCGTCCCGCAGAGAGACTGCTTCGATATATCTCCTCTTTCTTTGTCCTGTGTTCTCCTAACGCACACGCAGCAAAAAGACCTCCTCGTCTCACTTGGTTTCCCCGACCCGGTTTTGGCTTTTTTTGAGCGACTTTACTTGGGAATTGAGTGTGACAGCCGTGAGAGAAAAGGGACGGCAACGTCACGGGATTGTCAAAGTGAAGGCGAAAGCAGCAGGAAATGTCAATCGTTGAATGAGAGCGCAGGAACATCTCTTCGTGTGGGCAAAAGTATTGGGACGTACGTTTTCATCAACCATTTCATCAATTCGGGGGGTCGGACCGGAGCCAAAAATCCGTTTTTCAATATTGGTTTCTCATCAGCAGCGTCGCAGGTGAGCTGACTTTGGACAAGAGAAGCGGGTCGCATCGCAACTCAATCGCCGCGCACAAATAAACAATTCAAACTCAGACTCACATCGATGGAAAATGTGGAGTCTTAAGCCTGCTTCACAAAGCAGGATTTTTGGCCCGATTTCGCTCTGATTAGCGTGATGGCTCCAAAGATAATCAAATGAAATATTCCTGCCGCCGTGCGTGGTACGTTCGGACTGATTTCGACTGCTCGGAAGGGCGTTTGAGCCGCTCTGAACTCAGATTGGGGATATTCGACACGTCGGGTTGCTTTGGCCCGACTTTTCAACGTGGGCGGTGTTCCCCGAGGAAAAAGGAGCAACACGACCTGTTGACAGAGACGTGCAGCCTATCCCAAAGTGAGGTGACGAGACGGCGAGGAATCAAAGTTGGGGAATCCAAAATGATGATGACGATCAGATGATAAGGACAGAGAGAGACGAGAAGACGAATGGAAGCTCGGTGCAATAAGACCGTTGAGGCCTGTGGCAAAGATGAAGCTGTGACGAAGACGATGATCAACGACAACTACCAAATGGCCATACACCACGACCCCGACGACTCCCGATGCTATTCTTCTTGCAACTTTGGGATACCTACACATAATTACGTTGATGAGCCATGAAAATATATCCGCCCAAAGCCTTCTGTGACTGGAATATCCCACCAGATTGTATTTTTCCACGTCGCCACAACAAAGCGCTCTAAAGCGGCCAGGCCAGTGCGCCGCAGGCTGGCAGCCATGTTGGCCTTTTTCCTCCGCTCTCGTTCTCATCCATCTGATATGTGCGCACTCATGGCCAACAACGAAGCGCTCTAAGGCAATCGAGCATGTGAAGGAAAGATGCATTTTTGGAAATTAGGCAAAGCTAGCTAGCTAGCTAATTGCATGTCCAGTTGCGTCAGATAACAACTGATTCCAACAAAGGCGCTTCCTGGAAAAAGTAGGGCGGGGGGTGAGCCAGAAATCAGGAAAACTGTCATGGTGAAAAACGGTCCAACGCTATATCGCCACAATCGAGTACTTAAACTTTACCCAGCTGACTGACTTTAAAAAAAAAAAAAACAGGTGTCCCTATATTTTTTGTTCACTCAGTGCTCACATCATTTGATTCCAGGAGCTTGGTTTGGTTGTTTTTTTTTCTACACTGGATGCCGCAAATGGCCAAGTTACTCAGTGCTCACCCTCAGATGGATGACATCATTTGATTCCAGGAGCTTGATTTGGTTGTTTTTTTTTTCTACACTGGATGCCGCAAATGGCCAAGGCAACGCTTCAAAAAATTGTTTTTTTTTTAAATGGGGTGTTGATATTTATGTATTTATTTGCTTTTGTATTTATTTATTCGTACATATTTTCACTGGAATCTGACACTGGAAGGCAAAAAAAAAAAAAAAGAAAAGACAAATAAGAAAGAAAGGGACCAGCTGTGTGAGTTTGACTCTGGAGTATATTTCTATTTTTTTTTTCCATGAACACTTTTGCTCAATTCAAAATGTGAGATGGATGGTGTGTAAAAAAGCAAAAAGAAAAGAACAATTCTATGGCGTCTTGCAGTTGCGATTTTTTTTTTTGAGGAAGGACACTGCAAATTGTGCGGGTTTTTTCCACAGATTTGAAGGCACAAGTGATACAAAACGTGTCTCATGGAATTGCCAATTTTATCTCCTCATTTTTGTTTTGTGTGTGTACAAAACTGAAGTTAACTTTGCGTCATGTTTCCTCTTGGTTTGTGTTGTTATTTTTTACATGAACGGGAAGGAGGTTTACAGGTATAACGAATGAACTGGCCGCATCCCTCCTTATACCGACAACCTAAAATTCACGTCAACCTCAATGTATGGAAAAGTGAAAAAAAAGAAAGAGAAAAATCGAAATAAATATTTAATTTTTTTGATAAACTCCATCTGTTTGTGTTCAATCACAGTTAAACGTGTGAACTTGTATCATATCATACTATTAGACTGCATCTTTATGTTATGTTTAAAATGCAACTATTTTAGACGCAAATTTTAGGGGCGGACTGAAAAGATTTGTAATATTTTGAGAATAAAATTTGGATTTTTCATGCGGAACGTCACAATGTTACAAGTGTTACAACTTATACGAAGATCGTAACAACAACTTGATGGGTTTGAACTTTACTGTCCCAAAATTAACATGCATTACTTTTGGTAAAATGACAAAATTTTGAATACGGCATTAGGGCCTACTATTTTCTTGAGCTGTGACTATTTTGTCACGTCAATTATTTTTCCCTGTAATATTGTATCGTCTTTTCTAAAATTGAAACATTCAGTCCGGTACTTCTACAAATTTTATTTTCGGAATATTACAACTTCTCAGTGAACTATTTGTGTTTCATTCTGACTTTTCTTTGATTCAAAAAAAAAAAAAAAAAGACTTTAATCTTGTCGAATTCTGAGTTGATTCCCCCATATGTGGATTCATATGCTTATGGTTATGCTTCTTTGCATTCTCTTGCGATTGTTTGCCCATGATGGCTCCTGAGTTGCGAGTGATTGTGCTGCTCGACTTTTGTGTGTTGTCAGCGGCGAGGGATTCACAGATGAACCCCGGATGGAAACAATCGCAGTCATTTGACATGCCCAGCCAAACAAAGAGCCTTCTGTCGTATTGCCCCCCCACCTCCTCCCGCCCCCTCCTTCCCAAAAGGCCGCCTTCTGCCAAGCTAGAGCAATTGTCGCAGCCAACGGAGGACGGCGAGGCGCGTGAGCTCGCTTTCATCTTCCTCATCTGCCGCCGAACCCGTGTTCATCCTCAAAGCAAAACAAAAAGAGAAAAAAAAGAAGTGGCCCTCGCAACGCTCCGTGTAGGAGTAGAACAAAGAGCCATTTGAATCGCCAAATTAGCTTTGCTTTAAAAAGATGCGAGTGCATCAAACCGAAACAAAAGCAAATACTTTCACTTTCAAGCATACGGCCAAATGTATCCAATCTTCTTTTATTGGAGAGCATGATCAGAATCAGAATCATCTTGATTGGCCAAGAATGGAGAACACACAAGGAATTTGTCTCCGGTAGTACAGGCTACACGAGTATCGCAATAACAAGCAATGACGATAAACAAAGAGATGGCATGTCAGTATCGAAAGACTTTTCTGTAATGAAAGGGGACGATTGTCCAGTAGTAGCACCCAACGACAGTTGTGCGACGACGTGCCGAGTCATCGAGCAGAGATCAAGTGATCGGTGGACGCGGATGTTGTCCTATCTTGAAAGGAAATGCCCCAGTTGCAGCCTACTTGAAAAGTTCATTCGTGTACGTAAAAGGACAACAAGATGCATATCGCTTCACGCCGTCTTCAACTGAGCCGTACCATATCGAGTCGAATCTTAATCCCACTGAATCCTACGAATGGATTGCTTCCACGTTGAAATCATATCAAATTCTAATGAAAATGAATGAGATGTTGTTTTTTTTAGAGTAATCAAGATTTTTTTTTAAAAATCAAGGAAAATTTTGACCTAAAAAAAATCATCAGATGAGATTTATTTTTTTTACAGTATTTATTTTAATATACGAGTTAAGTACAAAGTTGTGAATCTGCAACAAGTACATTTTTTCATCATTTTCACTTTTAAAGAATAAAACTATTGCACTAAATGAAAAAAAATTTTTTTTTCCAAGAATAAGTCAATGACAATATGGGAGGGAGTGTTGGGGAAGTCAATCTTGTAGGAGCAAAGCCATTTTTTGTTTTTGAGTAAATGTTCGTGTCGGGTGAATTGTGCTCATCTTGCAAGAGTAATGTTTCATATTTTTTAATAATTAAGGATGAAATTTGCATTTTCGGGGGGCTGGGTGAGAGCAATACTTTACTTTGGAAAAAAAAATTACAAGACTATGTTTTTCAAGAAAATCAACTTATACTTAAAAAAAACAGTTTAAGCAAGGCAGGTCTGAAAAAAAATCCTGCAGAAGCTCAATATTTTATGTTATTTCGATTCCACTGCTGTCCGGAGTGCGCCGTTTTCCCAACGTGCGCCGCTCGCTCGCACGTGTTCTTTGCTGCGTCTCTGCCACACAGCGGTGATTAACATTAACCTTTAACTCAGTAAATGTCACCAGCGGCATTGGAAACACGCCCGCTCGCGTAGGCCATCCGGAGCACGTGTGCGCCAATGTCATCACATGACCTCCAGCCGGGGTGACGTCACAAACGCCGAGCGGAGAAACTGACGATGAGTCAGCTTGTGCCGGAGGCAAGCAAACGAAGCGCTCGCTCCCTCGCTCGCTCACATTTTTGTCTGCAAACCAGCTTCTCATTCATCTTCCATCATTGTCAAAATGAGACAGTTTTTGCCCTCCGCCCCGGTAACGCCGCTGCGGCTCTAATTAGGGAGCGTGTCACTCAGCCTGAACCTTGTTGATAATGACTTCTCCTCTTACTCTGTTTTGGGCTCACTTGCAGACACGGAACACTAACAAAACAACTTTTGCTCATATTTGCAGCAGGTTGCACGCATTCATATTTGATATTTCAAAAAAAAAAAAAAGAAGTAGCCATCATTCTAGTCCTGTCAAGTTACTGCTTTATTTTTTTTCTCATCAAACTTGGACTTTTGCCATGAATTATGACTTCATTTCCATAATTCTATGGGGAAGGGGTTCTTAAAATATGATGAATTTTCTTTCACAATACTGCTAATGAAATTCTCATAACATGAACATTATTTCCTCACGGGAAAGGGAGAGGGGGGGGGGGGGGGAACAGTATTTTGTTACACCGTTAAGCACCTGCAGTCATGAGGGCTTTGCATTATTTCAACAACGTCCATAAATACAGCTGGGCATTATTTGTTACATTCCTTAAAAAAATGTACAATGCCCGTCATAATTTTGCTCCTTGCTCATTTGTTCAGCATGCACAGTGATGGACTGTCGCGGAAGGTAAACATATCTCAAAATGCCTTTGGGATCCATTTGTAATCTAAACGTAAAAATGATTTATTTATTTATTTATTTTTGCACATTGAGAAGGTCACGCATACATTCAGTCCAAAACTCAGGCTGTAATCATTTTGCCGGAATAAATTCTGTTGAATTACGAGCTTTGACCAATATTGGGCGGCGTTGATAGTGACTACGTTCTTTTTTGAAACTGTAGAGGACGTGGAAAAGCTGGTCAAGCACATCTGCAGCGGTAAACCCTGCAGCGCGCCCATTTTCCTGCAAGAGAGGAGTGTGAAAACAACGGCAGCAACTAAAAGAAGATGCCTCGTGCAATCGGCACCAAAGATGAATGCAAAGGTTTTGTGGTTGGCCTGATACACTCGCAAATGTTGTGGAACCAAATATTTAATAGTAGCTTTTCAACGGCGGAAGACGTGCAGGTGTGTGTTCAGTTTAGACCTAAAGCACACCAATTATTTACTCTTTTGCAATTTCATTGACAACAAGCCTCATTAAGTTGAACGTTGAAAGCTAACATTGAGCGTGTCTGAAACAAACCAAAAAAAATTTTTTTTTTGGAACAGCCTCGTATTCTCTTGAGGCTCCATTAAACACTTGACGAGTTTCAACCTGAACTGACATCACTTGTCAAAACATCCACCTGCAGCATTTTTGTGTGTGTTTTTTTTTTCTTTCGGGACCGACCTTAACAACAACAGCCAAAATTAAAAGCAACGCAACTAAACGATGATGACATCTTGACACCTGTTGATAAACTTGAATATGACTCGCGCAGCCGCAATATGGCACACAATAACTTTAATATGCCATACCTAGATTTAATCCTCCACATATACAGCACCTGTGAGTGATTGTTTTGACAACACGAGCTTGTGATTGTTATGCCATTTAGCTAGCTTAACCTGAACATGAGCCACAGAGCCTGACATGCCACGCGTGACTTTAATACACTCGATTGAACATGAATTGTGTGGGAGTGATTGTTTTCGTGGCACCAGTCTGTGATTGTTATGCCACACGTCGTTAGAATGTGCCTGACATTACATGAATATGATTCCCGTCACCTTAATATGCCACACGTGACTTTAATATTCCACGTTTAGCCTCGATAT